AAGAGATTTTGATTGGTTGGTTAGTGGGTCAAGTTTGTGGAAGTTGTGGTCTTCTTGAAATCAATCTTATCGACCTTGACCTCGCCATCTATGAGCTCGTAAACGTAGACCACGACTCGAAGGCCGTCAATGTCCATGAGGACAAAGCTCGGGTTCACGTCATATGTGATGCTGCTAAAGGCCCCAGTGGCTGACCCCGGGTTTATCACAACCCCAGCCTCGTGTTTGTAGGCCGTAAACTGATGGGTGTGGCCTGTTACAAGAATGTCCACATCCAGCTGCCTCTGGACCATAGCCAACGACTCCAAATCTCCCCATGGGATAACCTTTCCACCAAATATAGTAAATAAGAGGATGAACACGAAGGATTATATGCTGAAAAGGAAGTTCTAAAATTACAAAACCCTCCTTGATATATATATATATATATATATATATATTGGTTCAAAAAAAAACTATTCCTGATGTGAGAACCGTGACAACGTATTTGATGCTATTTTTTGCTATTTTTAATATTACATGGTGCTATTATCTTCACAAATGCTAATATAAATTGTATTGCTATTTTTAATAAAATACATTTTGGTTAAAGATAGCACTAAAACACAAACAATTATAGCACTACGTACAATTAAATATAGCGGTTCTCACGCTAAAACTTGGTTCTCAGAAGTTTTTTATGTTGTAAGTTGTAACACATTCAGAGACAGCTGGAGTTTTATGTAATTTGAGGTATTGATAACAAAACCAGAAACATATAGATGAAGTTTGATACAAATAAATAAACGGGAAGTATATTTGAAAATTACAAATATCTCCCTTTACATTCCTTTCATTCGACAAAGTGTGTAGTCTGAAGGAGCTGTTCGTATGCAACACTGATGAGGTATTCGTAAATTGAGTTGTGACAAGTGCATTCCTTTCATTATCGTGTTTTTGTAGCTAGGTTTATGAGTAGTGAGAACCTCTTGTATATTTAACTATACCACAAAAATATTTGCATTCCAAATTCTTGTATAGCTGATAATTTACTTGCTACGCATTAGGTTTCTCAAACTTTGCCCAAGGGAGGCATTATGTTTTCCAAAAAGTACGATATAACCCAGCCTATATACAGCAAGAAAGCAAGGCATTGCAAATCCAATGAGATAGAATTCTTAAACAGTTTAAACATCATAACAACTAAAGAGAAAGTGAACGAACCTGATGACCATGGCAGACACCAAGCTTAAACTGGCCAATTGTTAATGTTTTCATCTCAGGATAACGAGGATCCTCATCATACTCACCTCGAGTGATGTGCAAGTCCGGACAAACCGTTCTCAAGTAGTCATAGACCTCCTGCAAGAGAATAGCAAAAAAGGAAGTTCTCTAACTAACATAGTCAAACATAAAGTAAACAGACCTACTTACTATTAAGAATTCGTGTGTATCCACAGCGCACACTATGGTTACACAGTTATCTGTCATTTCAGATTGGATGCCTCCCTTTGTCAGGGAAGTGAAGGGTCCATACTAATGGGTTCAGAATTTTAACAGCAACTTACCAATGATGAATGACATTTATTATCTAAGGACAATGAAAATGAAGAAACATTTTATTAGCCTAGATGTATCAAGCATCAATTTTCAACGAAAGAGGATGGTAAGAATGTAGCCGAGTGACTCAAAAAATGTGGAATTTAGGCCTAAAAACGAATATTTTTTAAGGGAAGTAGGACACAGAATTTGATTCTGAAGCTCATGCCTGAGTTTGTATAGCATTTCCAAGTCAAACTTCGGCGCAACTTTTTCCAGAAGAAGGAAGAGACTAAAAACGTGAAGCAACATAAACCGATGAAGGAAGTTAACAAGTTAGGGTTCAGAAAGATGTTTGGTTGTCATAGTTATCTTGAATACTCATCACTCAGACATTAAAGTCAACTTTAGCATGTAAAAACAATAATTATACAATTTCGTTTTCATCACTCGCAATAAGAAAATTGCTTCTCAAGGAAAAAGATGCACAAGTCGAGACTGGGAGTTATTACAGGAAACAGCATACTAAAAAAGGTTATGCACCAGATCAGTTTCATTTGAAGTGGAGCACAAAATGTATAGGGGTTTTAATATTATTAGAAAAAGGAGCCACTAGAAATAGACCTCTACCAATAGAACCCATATTGTTTAGAGAACCATTTCTCAATTAATACCCTCCAATCCCAATTCCACTGATTCACCAACTCGACACTTCTTTTGCTTCTATTTGCCTGCTAGAATTAATATATACACTCATTGTCTGAGAAGCGCTATACAACCATCAGTGATTAATGTAAAGATAACTGTTGCAATCTTTAGCCTGTAATTGACTAACTGAAGCAGAAAGTCATTCTCCATGCTCCTTCGGAAAACTAATACACCCCAACAAAAACCTGCAGCATAAATCCTTGCCACTGTCATCTGGAAATACTCCAAATGATTTTTTGGACAGTGTCATGAAGGCACAACCATCATGCGTAATAGTTATTTACCATATAGCATTGATATGAACAAAACTCCAAGTGAAAAAACTGCAAGCATGTCAAGCATAAAACATTACAGAAAAACTATAAGAATGGAATTTAACCAGAACATTTTCATTGCTTAAGACAATTCAAGATATTCACTCACTTTGGTACATAAGTTCCCAGGGCAAATGATGTGCTGGATCTTTCCTGGAACAAGCATGGATTTGAACTTTGCAGGCAAATCCGGCGCCCTATGTGGTATGTGTAAATCGCCCAATGCAAGTACTAACACCATCCTTCCTAATTCAACAGTCACAATCAAACCATTTTTCCCTATACGAGCTGTTAGAACATAGTATACATCTATACATCATCCTAGAAACTTATCATGGAGAACTAAAGCATAGGGAATATAATAGACTGGGTAGAGACATTTTTCTCAGTGATCCTGCCTTAAATATCACATACCAAAAGTATAACTCAAAATCTGAAGGGTATATTCATTTGAGATTTTGATTGATATTTAAGACTTATAAATCCATGACTTTTGATTGATGTTAAAGAATTTTTTATTTTAGTGAAATACTTAAAAGTTTAAAGGTATGATACTATGATTTGGATGTTAATTTTGTTTAATATCTTAGCAAGTTTTACAGTCCTACAAATGTCAGTGTTACATAAGTTATATAACTCGTGATTTCTTAAAATCTAAATTACATACATCATTACTTTTAAAATTTTTAAAAAGTCAAACTAAATATTCCAGGATTTCCAAAAAAATTACAAATCCTAAATGAATTCACCCTTGAAATGCTATAACAAGCAACCATTCACACTCGAGGTTGATAGTATATAACAAAAGCTCATACATAAATTTTAATTGATTTACCATAAGAACCCTAAAAAACAAATGGGCATTACGTTTTGGGAATAGATAGGGATCAATTTAACAAGCACCATGCCTTCATAAATTGTCGAAATGCGATCGATCACGAAAAGAAGGAACGGTGAATTTGATGAATGGAAGGATAAATCAGAACGTTCGACAAAAAACTGTACTGAAATTTGTTCAGCTTCAAAAAACGAGATGAATAAGCAGACAAAGGCAAAGTACCTGGCAGAGAAAGCAAGATCGAGAAGCGCTAGTGGACGGAGGAGATGGCCGCGAGGAACTACGGGTAGGATACAGACGAGGTTCAGGGTGGTTTCGAAGGATCGTAGTGGAAGATGATTAAGTTGCCATAAATTTACTCATCTTGGAGCCTTTGTAGCAACATTCAAACCTCATGAATTCCAAAATTACAAAATCAATTTTGAATTTATTGAACTATGACCATGTTTAGTAAAATATCTAAGCTAAATGATATATGATAATTTAATTGATTATAAATAAATTTCAAGTATAAGGCTATATAGGATAACTAATTACTGAAAAACAAATTAAATTAAAAAAATATTTCATAAAATTAATTGAACAAATTAGTTAAAATAAAATTTCCAACTATTTTTTTAAACTATCTAAGTAATATTATAAGATAAGCTTCAGCTTTATTAAAATAGTTAATAGTTAATCCTATCAAACTAGAATGTAAATTGAATATTGTCAGGTGCGGGTTTTGGTTGACTCACATACATTTTACTCCACTCGAACCCAACTAGTTACTCGATTATTGGTTTGCTTAAGTTTTAATTTTATTTTTATTTATGGAATAATATGTATAGTATTACACCGAACATATATGAAATTTGTTGTTCTTTGATATGTTCTTTAGCATATGTTGCATAAGTAGGCATGAATAAAGATGTCACTAGGCTTTTGATTAAGCTTATCACACGGGTACTCTATCACATGAGTTGTGAGTAATATGACGAGATTATGTCATAATCATATTAAGTGTATGTAGTATGAATTATATTTATATTTTTGTCGTATAAATATATTTTTACGGTCCCCTTAGTAAGTCTAAGGTGAGACTCTAACTAGTCGAATATGAAATTACCCTAATTTCATATCAAAGTCTTGAAGTCGAATCTCGAGTGGGAGATAAATTATTAAGTATATTTATCAAGTGGCTCGGGTTAGAAACTTGAGTAGTATCTAGACTAAAGATTCATATAGCATAGTATAGTGACATGTCCATCATAGTGGAGCTATGTTATGACACGTATATCATACTGCATGTGCTTTTGAACGACCGTTAAGGATTGACAAATAATTTCCTACTTCCGACAACCTCTAATTATTCAAAAATCACCGATAGCATACACAGTCCTTATATGCTATATTCACAACATGATTATATTCAAATATAACCCCCGGGCTAATGTAGTGAAGTCAAACCAGTTATTTCTTAGACACTAATCAAATTTCATCTCAACTTAATTGCTTTCCTAACATGCTCCGTCGAACTATATAGATCATAGCTCTTGGAGGACATATTAAAGTAGCAACACTAAATGCTCTATCACCCGTATGAGGCAAGAAATTTGCTAATAAAGATTTTAGTTATAGTCTCGGCTTAAGTGGTTGAGTGGGAGTGGTGTTTGTAATTAATTCCATCAGTTAAATTAATTAAACACCCACTTAATGACTTTGTTACAAAACTCCATTAAGTAATTATGTTATGACTTATGGAGTCATCCACACTTATCACTGCACATTAAGTGGTGGATGACTCCATAAGAAAATCATCCGATGGCTCCATATAATTTTTGTCTTACGAAATTGTTGTAAAGAGTCCAATGTTTGGTGAGTCCTTAAGTTTTATAGTCCAATGTTTTAAAAATTTTAAGTAGCTTTATATATTCAAATTTTTAAATATAATTATAATTTTACCATTAAACATATTTAAAATATAAGGTTCTTTTAGTCCGTTTGAATCATTTATTTACAAAATCATTCCTCATCTATATCTATATATATAATAAGAATTAATATTCACCATAAATAGTAATTAGGAATTTTAGGACAATATTAATTGCTTACTATTTTTGGATTTTTTTTCTTTTTTTTTTAACATTAATCCTTATCATCATTTGAATTATGCGGCCTAAAAAAGTGGAATTTAATTTGAAAAATTCAAATCAAATCGTATCCTAAAAATTTGCATTTTGTTAAATCCCTCATAATACAACCCCATATCAATACCATTTTTGAATTTATTATTTTTAAACATACAACAGAAACAGTATCCACATACACAATTTATGTCTTCCTAAATTTAAGTAATTTGTTGGTCCCCAAATTAGTGAAGATTCCTTGCATGAAGGATTTATACAATTTTGAAAAAATTGAGAACTTGGTATAAACCCATTACATACGATATTGGTTTTAGAATTTGAATTTTCAAATTTCTTCCATATACATACGCAACTATTCACTTCCTAAAATTAATTAATTTGTTGAATCAAATACGATATTATGGTATTGGTTTTGGAATTTGAATTTTTAAATTTCTTCCACATACATACACAACTATTCACTTCCTAAAATTAATTAATTTGTTGAATCAAATACGATATTNAAATAATAATAATAATAATAATAATAATAATAATAATAATAATAATAATAATAATAATAATATAAATCTGCTTATTACAAATTCAGAAAATAAAATCTCATTAGAGTAAGTAAATGTCATCATATGCAATACATGAATGAAATAGGAAAAATTAAATTGACATAAAAGCAACATAGATTATTAAGTAGACTTATTCGGTTTAAATATTTGAATTTCACTACACAAATAAGTCATTATTACTCTTCTTATTAAAATAACAGATTACTGTTTATTAAAAAATCAAAAAGTTCCTGTTTTGCACATAAATTTAAAAAACTAAATTAAATACTAAAGGTACATCAACCATTCATTCATTATAGTGTGGCAATTCATTAATTAACTACAGATTATTAAGTTCTTTTTCTAGGTAGCAAATAATTAAGTTATATTATCTAATCACAATTTAAGTCACAAAATGATAAATAAATACTGCTGAAATAAATTTTGAAATTATATATGATTGTTTATTTGTCGAATACTATTTTATTGTACAATTTCTATACTTATTATAAAACTTTTACTTTATTATGCATCTTAAAATATAAAATATATATATATATATATATTATATATAATAAGAATTACTATATATAAAAAATAGTAAGTCAATCCTTAGTCAAAACTGATCAACATTAATTACATGTCATTTATAGTATCTTTTTTATATTTTTTTTGTTAAAAACGGACAACATTAAATGTTGTCCTGAGGAGTTTGTTACTTTTTTATTTTCAAAAAAGCGGGTTGCTATTTAAATTTGGTCTATTGAATATTTGTGATGGTTTGACACAATGTGCATATCAAAAGCTGATAATGCATGGGCTGCATCAATTAAATTTAGTTATTGAATACAAGAAGCTATTTTTAAATTTGAATAAAAATGTACGTCACGACTGCTAATTCAATTAAATATCGGCCAATTATATTCTCCAAATTTAAACCCAGATATTCGGCTCATACAATTGTTTTGCTTGCCAGCTTTTTTTTCAATAAAAAAGTTACGATCGATTTAATAAAAAAAATTATGTGTTATTTTTTCTAACATTAAAAATATACTTTTGTATTTCAAAATATCGAAAACCTTTTTTTTCTATAAAATCGGCTAATACATATGTTTTGATTAGTGGATTTTATTTTTTAAAAAAAGTACGGCTAATTTAAGGGTAAAATATATTAAAAAAGTATTTGTTTATTTCTTTTGAAAATATTTTTTCTAACCATCAAATCGGGCAGTTTCAATTAAAAGAATAAAGTTACGGCTGATTCAATTGTTTTGTTTGACAATTATTTATTATGAAAAATAATACACGAGTCTAATTTTGAAATGATCAAAATTTTTATGGTCTTTGTTTAAATCAGAGATTCGAAATAAGAATAATCTCCATATTTAAATTGCTTTAATTGTAAAACGTGATGTATAAAAGATTTAGAAAGATTTATCGCATATCATCCTCTAAATTAATGATTTTTTTTTTTAAATTTCAAAATACCAAGTCATATTTTTATGGTATTTGTTTAAATCAGATATTCAAAATATCTTAATCTCCATATTTAAATTGCTTTAATTGTAAAACGTGATGCATACAAGATTTAGATAGATTTATCACATATCTCCCCTAAATTAATGATTTTATTTTTTTTTTCTAAATTTCAAAATACCAAATCATAAAGTTACGGCTGATTTAATTATTAAACGATATTTTGCAATCACAGATTCGGGTTATCTTCAAATTCAAAATTTAAATTGCCGATATGTAGATAAATTTGAACATATTAAATACATATGATCTCTAAAATGAAGGATTTTATTCCATTAAGAAAACATAAAATATGAACTTAAGATGTAGATTATATTATGCACGTGTGATAATATAATTTTACATGCTATGAAAGTCATATTTTTTATCCGTGCGATAACGTACTAGTTTTATAATAATATAGATAGATTGATTATGGATTCTAGTTTTTTTAGTGGTTTTCAGGCTAGTGTTGTTGGTCATTTTTATTGTCTTGGTCTTCCTTCTGTGGTGATCAAGCCTTGTGTAATCATTTGATTGATCGGATTTATCTATTTGAGTGATATAAAAGAACAATTTGATTGATCGGATTTATCTATTTGAGTGATATAAAAGTTGTTTTGTTTGTTGTTGAAAAAAAAAAAAAGATATATTTGATTATATCAAGTAATGAATGACAAATAAATATTAGATAATCTTCATCGCATGCAATTATCATGCTCATCAAAGGGTCCGTGTTGGTTTTGTTCAAGTACGCTGATCCGTGATATAACAACTAACATTCTATTAACGGCGTGGACCATCCAACAACTAATTTAATCAACATCTCCGGCTTCAAATTGCACATTTTTTAACCTCAGCTTACAGTGAAAAATAGAGTATCATACATAAATAAAACAATTTTTGAATATCCTGTTACAGGCCAAGGCTACGCCAAATCTAAGCTT